ACAAAAAAAAAGTATTATTTAAACACAAAAAATAGTATCACTCAAAAATAAAAAATAGTAATATTGTATATTAATATTTTAAAAAGTAACAGTAGTAACATACTCAATTAAAAATAGTAACATTGAATATTGATCTTTCAGAAAAATAGTAATATTTAAAAACAAAAATTAGTAACATTCAAACACAAAAAATAGTACACTTTAAACGCAAAAACATAGTAACATTCAAAAATAAAAAATAGTAACATATTATATTAATATTTGAAAAAAAAAAAATCAATAGTAACAGGCTCAACAAAAAATAGTAACATTAAATATTGATATTTTCAGAAAAATAGTAACATTCAATATTAACGGTAATATGCTTATCAAAAAAAATAATAACATGTTCAATAAAAAAATAGTAATATAAACAAAAGGTAGTAACATGCACAAGCACATCAAAATCGAAATAGTAACATGAAAAAAGAAATTATATCGATACAACATCGTCTTCTTTACAAAAATACACAACCAACTAAATTAAGACCTAACAAACAACACAATGATAGTAGCCTTAACAAACAACAATAACAGGACAACGTGCGATAATCCACATAAACGAATGTAAACAAATCCACTCTGTTTTGGGGCCTTGATTGAATCTGAGTTAGTGCATAATTCTACTTGGCATTTCGACAAAATTTAAGGGCAATTTGGGTGGAGTCGAAGCTCTTCTCATGGTGGGTGCATATTTATGGAATCAAGAGCTTTTTTGGTGGTAAGCTTCGACGACAATATCTTCGTTCATGGTGGGTAAGAAAAAATTCAGAATTGTTGGGGAACAACTAGGATAATGTGGATCATGAATTTGAATTTTAAATTCTATGGTCAAATCTTATGAGCATGAATTCTGGGGTAAAAAATCTGAGTGTTTTCCAATTATGAAACAAAATTAAGGTCTAATACTATTGAAACATTATAAGACGGGTATTTTGGAGTTTTAAAAAAATAGTGGACTTATTTAGTTATTATTAAAATAAAAAACGGACTTAACACCAAATAAATTTATTTGACATACTCAAATTATTAGAAGTCATTTAAAGAGGACTCAATCTCAATTTTCACTACTATTTTTAATACATCGGAAGTTTTGTTTTAGGCCTAACCAGCCCAATAATTGCGACACAAAAGTACCGCTTTCTGGGTTGTTGGGCATGGACTTATTGAATGGTACACAAAGCTATCTATGATTCCAATAAAGTTTAAAATATGGAAGATGGACTTGTCAATGGTACGCTACCAGAAATCGGGCTTTAAACCTCTCACAGTTTATGAACGAGCCAATTGACAATAGTTTCAGCCACAACAATAATCAAACAGCTCCAATGAAGATGAATGTCTAACATGGAGTGTGCATTTATGTGTTGGGTGTGCCTTTGTCGTGTGACCCGATGGCTTAAATGCAAGTGCAACATGTGGGAAACATCGTCATATTCCAATGATCAAAAGTATTTAATTTAGTCTTGATTTAGATTGTATGACAATTACATACAACAACAATCATACTCTTTCATCTCCACTCCAATTATCTTTCCATTTAGGGCCAGTAGGGCCTTGTTCACCTAGTACCTCATTAGGAAGACTCTGTACAGAGTTCAGAAATGCTTTTTTCAGCTTCCCAGGCAGTGCTTTCGCGACCTTGTTGATCTCATCCGCTGTGTTATAGCTGATATTTGGACCCCATTCTCTAGCATAGTTTAACCATGGTGGCTCAACAATCGTTGACCCCAAGTACTCCACGCCAACCACCAAAAACCTTACTCCAGTGTCCATGACTATCTTGCCTTTTCCAGTATCATTCCTTATCCCTATCCCTTTGTTTCCTTGTACTTTTGGGAAAAAGGCATGACTATGCAATGCTGCATATGTCACAGGCTTATTACCATTTTCGAACTCAAGCTCCCAAGCATCAATCCATATCCCTTTACTGTGTTGTGAAAAATATACACTTTTTAGCTCCCCATTGAAATTGCTGATCCTCAATGTCACATGTTCCCAATCGCCAACATGCTCGCCTATTTTTCCCAAGGAAATAGAAATAAACTCAACAATAGCCCTTGCTGCTCCATTAAAAGGGTAGAAGACCCATATGGTTATATCTGTGAATGTCGTACCAAACACAGGTTTGATGTGTAAATATACCCCAGCATTTTGTAAATCTCCTTTCTTGACATAGTCTTTGGTTGATCCATTAACCGGAAGGTCTAACCAATAGGCACCATCATTTGAACCACCTTGGGGAAGGTTTGAGCCTGTTGGTTCAATAGAGACAGGCTCTGACTCTTTGCCTTTTTCGAAAAGTAGTGCCCCATTTTCAAAGAACCAACCAACTGAAGAGGGAAGGTATTGTTCATTAGGATCAAAGTAAATCCATGGAGAATAAGCTTGAACTAGTGCCTGAATTTGGCTAAGATTAGGCATAGCACTTGAGTTAGCTTTGACATTCTTCAAACAAGCTAGGGGTAATGCAGAACCAATAATTTGGGCTATAAATGTACCAGTGGGCACACCTAAAGCTTGGGTCCCTCTATCAGTTGGTGTTGAGGCGTATACATTGATCCCCTTCTCTGACCCCCAAATCCATGCATCAATTACAGAAACATCGGTGAGGTCAGAGCGAATGCATCGGATTTTGTCAAGGGAAGGCTTCTCAGGCGAGTTTGTAACCACATGACCAATGGCTTTGTAGCCATGAGGTGGTGTTGGCAGCCAGATATAGCCAGGACCATCTTGCTTAATTTGCAAAGCCTCGCTACTCCAAACAAGAGTGTAGTCAATTGGCTGCTTTAGAGCACCTCCTGAGGGGTCTCCTGTGACATCTTTTCCAACAAGAGACCATCCAAATAGAGGCCTATTGTTGGGCTGGCTATAGGAACCAAGCATGAAGAATCCTTCTGGTATGGAAGCTGGTTCAAAAAATGTTGCTCCAAGATTGTCAGGGCCACCTTCATTGGTAGCCCAAACTTTGGTGAATGATGATATTTGATACACTTGTAATCCTCCAAGATCAATAGTCCCACTTGCAAAACCTTCACCTTTAATTCAAAGAAATGAAGAAAGAACTCAAAAAAGTAAGAACTCAAGAAAGAAATGATAAACTAAAAACAACTTATAAAAGAAAATGAGAATAGAACATGATGCTAATGATAATCATATAGTAGAGGAAAGCACCTGGAGGCCAAGTGGGTGCTGGGGAAGGCAGCTTGAAAATGGTTTCAATGGGCAAAGGCTTGCTGTCTTTCATTGAAATAATTGTCGGCAAAGAAGATACTTGAAGATAATTCACCATCTTTGATTCTCTCACACAAAGACTAGAACAACAAATTTACAATACGAGGATTGCTTAAAATAAAAGGGATAGGCAAGATGTTATTCGCTTAATAAGATGGTTAAAAACAGTAAGGCAATCAGAATAAAAGTCAAAGATAGGGAAACACTTAAATGAAACTTAGTATATTACCCTTACATATGCAAATTGATGACTCTTGTTATGGGTCAGCCCCTTTCTGTTGGGTCATGACTCANCAGGCAAGACGTTATTCGCTTAATAAGATGGTTAAAAACAGTAAGGCAATCAGAATAAAAGTCAAAGATAGGGAAACACTTAAATGAATTTTAGTATATTACCCTTACATATGCAAATTGATGACTCTTGTTATGGGTCAGCCCCTTTCTGTTGGGTCATGACTCATGAGGGATAAGCTTTATTATGATGGCATGAAAAATTTTAGTAAATGCCACAAATATTTTTGCAATTCAATATAATAACATTCTCAAACCCAACTAGAAGGGTCTCTGTTAATCCACACATTTGAATCAAAAAATAATTGACGAATTGAACCGATTCCAACCCATATGGATCACAAGAACATGTACTGAATTATGGGTTACAGAACTTATACTGGATTGCATTAATTGGATTTTAGCTTTCTAAGTATAACGAACCTGGTGATGATAATGCTNATAGTAGCCTTAACAAACAACAATAACAGGACAACGTGCGATAATCCACATAAACGAATGTAAACAAATCCACTCTGTTTTGGGGCCTTGATTGAATCTGAGTTAGTGCATAATTCTACTTGGCATTTCGACAAAATTTAAGGGCAATTTGGGTGGAGTCGAAGCTCTTCTCATGGTGGGTGCATATTTATGGAATCAAGAGCTTTTTTGGTGGTAAGCTTCGACGACAATATCTTCGTTCATGGTGGGTAAGAAAAAATTCAGAATTGTTGGGGAACAACTAGGATAATGTGGATCATGAATTTGAATTTTAAATTCTATGGTCAAATCTTATGAGCATGAATTCTGGGGTAAAAAATCTGAGTGTTTTCCAATTATGAAACAAAATTAAGGTCTAATACTATTGAAACATTATAAGACGGGTATTTTGGAGTTTTAAAAAAATAGTGGACTTATTTAGTTATTATTAAAATAAAAAACGGACTTAACACCAAATAAATTTATTTGACATACTCAAATTATTAGAAGTCATTTAAAGAGGACTCAATCTCAATTTTCACTACTATTTTTAATACATCGGAAGTTTTGTTTTAGGCCTAACCAGCCCAATAATTGCGACACAAAAGTACCGCTTTCTGGGTTGTTGGGCATGGACTTATTGAATGGTACACAAAGCTATCTATGATTCCAATAAAGTTTAAAATATGGAAGATGGACTTGTCAATGGTACGCTACCAGAAATCGGGCTTTAAACCTCTCACAGTTTATGAACGAGCCAATTGACAATAGTTTCAGCCACAACAATAATCAAACAGCTCCAATGAAGATGAATGTCTAACATGGAGTGTGCATTTATGTGTTGGGTGTGCCTTTGTCGTGTGACCCGATGGCTTAAATGCAAGTGCAACATGTGGGAAACATCGTCATATTCCAATGATCAAAAGTATTTAATTTAGTCTTGATTTAGATTGTATGACAATTACATACAACAACAATCATACTCTTTCATCTCCACTCCAATTATCTTTCCATTTAGGGCCAGTAGGGCCTTGTTCACCTAGTACCTCATTAGGAAGACGCTGTACAGAGTTCAGAAATGCTTTTTTCAGCTTCCCAGGCAGTGCTTTCGCGACCTTGTTGATCTCATCCGCTGTGTTATAGCTGATATTTGGACCCCATTCTCTAGCATAGTTTAACCATGGTGGCTCAACAATCGTTGACCCCAAGTACTCCACGCCAACCACCAAAAACCTTACTCCAGTGTCCATGACTATCTTGCCTTTTCCAGTATCATTCCTTATCCCTATCCCTTTGTTTCCTTGTACTTTTGGGAAAAAGGCATGGCTATGCAATGCTGCATATGTCACAGGCTTATTACCATTTTCGAACTCAAGCTCCCAAGCATCAATCCATATCCCTTTACTGTGTTGTGAAAAATATACACTTTTTAGCTCCCCATTGAAATTGCTGATCCTCAATGTCACATGTTCCCAATCGCCAACATGCTCGCCTATTTTTCCCAAGGAAATAGAAATAAACTCAACAATAGCCCTTGCTGCTCCATTAAAAGGGTAGAAGACCCATATGGCTATATCTGTGAATGTCGTACCAAACACAGGTTTGATGTGTAAATATACCCCAGCATTTTGTAAATCTCCTTTCTTGACATAGTCTTTGGTTGATCCATTAACCGGAAGGTCTAACCAATAGGCACCATCATTTGAACCACCTTGGGGAAGGTTTGAGCCTGTTGGTTCAATAGAGACAGGCTCTGACTCTTTGCCTTTTTCGAAAAGTAGTGCCCCATTTTCAAAGAACCAACCAACTGAAGAGGGAAGGTATTGTTCATTAGGATCAAAGTAAATCCATGGAGAATAAGCTTGAACTAGTGCCTGAATTTGGCTAAGATTAGGCATAGCACTTGAGTTAGCTTTGACATTCTTCAAACAAGCTAGGGGTAATGCAGAACCAATAATTTGGGCTATAAATGTACCAGTGGGCACACCTAAAGCTTGGGTCCCTCTATCAGTTGGTGTTGAGGCGTATACATTGATCCCCTTCTCTGACCCCCAAATCCATGCATCAATTACAGAAACATCGGTGAGGTCAGAGCGAATGCATCGGATTTTGTCAAGGGAAGGCTTCTCAGGCGAGTTTGTAACCACATGACCAATGGCTTTGTAGCCATGAGGTGGTGTTGGCAGCCAGATATAGCCAGGACCATCTTGCTTAATTTGCAAAGCCTCGCTACTCCAAACAAGAGTGTAGTCAATTGGCTGCTTTAGAGCACCTCCTGAGGGGTCTCCTGTGACATCTTTTCCAACAAGAGACCATCCAAATAGAGGCCTATTGTTGGGCTGGCTATAGGAACCAAGCATGAAGAATCCTTCTGGTATGGAAGCTGGTTCAAAAAATGTTGCTCCAAGATTGTCAGGGCCACCTTCATTGGTAGCCCAAACTTTGGTGAATGATGATATTTGATACACTTGTAATCCTCCAAGATCAATAGTCCCACTTGCAAAACCTTCACCTTTAATTCAAAGAAATGAAGAAAGAACTCAAAAAAGTAAGAACTCAAGAAAGAAATGATAAACTAAAAACAACTTATAAAAGAAAATGAGAATAGAACATGATGCTAATGATAATCATATAGTAGAGGAAAGCACCTGGAGGCCAAGTGGGTGCTGGGGAAGGCAGCTTGAAAATGGTTTCAATGGGCAAAGGCTTGCTGTCTTTCATTGAAATAATTGTCGGCAAAGAAGATACTTGAAGATAATTCACCATCTTTGATTCTCTCACACAAAGACTAGAACAACAAATTTACAATACGAGGATTGCTTAAAATAAAAGGGATAGGCAAGATGTTATTCGCTTAATAAGATGGTTAAAAACAGTAAGGCAATCAGAATAAAAGTCAAAGATAGGGAAACACTTAAATGAAACTTAGTATATTACCCTTACATATGCAAATTGATGACTCTTGTTATGGGTCAGCCCCTTTCTGTTGGGTCATGACTCATGAGGGATAAGCTTTATTATGATGGCATGAAAAATTTTAGTAAATGCCACAAATATTTTTGCAATTCAATATAATAACATTCTCAAACCCAACTAGAAGGGTCTCTGTTAATCCACACATTTGAATCAAAAAATAATTGACGAATTCAACCGATTCCAACCCATATGGATCACAGAACATGTACTGAATTATGGGTTACAGAACTTATACTGGATTGCATTAATTGGATTTTAGCTTTCTAAGTATAACGAACCTGGTGATGATAATGCTCACCCCAAAAACAATGAAGATGAAAAGGGTAAGTTATAAAGATTACTATTAACCGCAAAAATTACAAGGAAATAACAACAGTGCATTCCACAAGCTAGATGATTAAGACTTAAGGCATGTGATCTATCATGCATTACCATTCAAACTGGAAAAAGAACAAGGAATCTCAAAATGGTTGTTTTTCTGATATAGCTAAATCTTCAAACACATGCTACACTTTTGGCAATAATCTACACAAATCAAACCACAAACAAAGTGAAATTTAACAGTAGATACCATTGTGGAGCTGAAGAGAGTAGCATTAATGCCAGAGCAGTGATTGTTGCCGCAAGATAAACTTCCATTGAAAAGACAAAAAAAAAAAAAAAAACCTCTCAATTCTCTCTCTCTCTCTCAACTCTACCTTAAATTCCCAATCGACGAACACCCATTTTTAATCTTCTCATTATCTCAGACAATGGGAAAAAACCCATAAATTCAAGCTCTATCTCCCGGGGGATAAGTGGTGCTGGTGTGAGATTCGTATATAAATGGAGTGTTTGTTCTTTTGGCACTGAGAAGGCTGACATGACAAAAAGCTCTTTGCAACAGTGGGTATGAGTGTTCGTTAAAAGTAACGTATCCATCTCTTAAAGATAAATCATAAACTCATACGTATCTACTTTAGAATTTAAAAATTTTCTTACCACCAATCATTTCGACCTCAATATTCACCAAAAAAAAATAGTCAAAATTGGCATATACTAACTAGAACAATTTGACAACAATTTATAAAAAAGAAAAGCTTTATCATGTTTTTCTTTTAAGGTTGTTATTTTCTTGGTTCTCAATTTATACTAAAAAAATATATATATTTTAATAAATTTATCTAACCGTTTCAAATAGACTTATTAAATTATCACTAATATCCTTTTTAAATTTTCACCATGCTATTACATCTAGTATAATAATAATATATAAAACTTATAATCGTCAATCATTATATTAAAAAAAATAAAAAATAATTTATATTTTATTAATCAAATTTAAATTCAGATCGAACTCCAATAATTGAGGGGCCCAATGTGAACATCCTCGGGAGGCACAAAGAATATCCGCCCTGTGCCTCTATTTTTGCAAATTAGCGTACGGCACCACTTAACTTAAAAAATTAAGACCTAACCTACCCAACCCAACCCCCATCCACCCCTAGATACCAACTTGCCTAAATTAATTGCAGTTTGCCCTTTTGAGATACGAAAACTAATATGCACCTCAAATTTGAATCTCAAATAGTATTCTAAAGGATCGGCGATCATAAAACCCACTAATTCAACGACCCTTATTGATTTGGAATCCTAAATTTGAGTTGCATACAATTGTTTGAGAGACATTATAGTATTTCTAATTCGCGAATTTTTAATGAAAGAAACGACTATAGTATCGCTAACGATATCGTACTGAAAATTATAATTTTTGAATGTTACGTAACAATTTTTTGAGGTGTAAGTTATAATTTTTCAAAGGTATGATCGATTATGAGAGATTGAGATCGATACTAAAATTATAACTTTAAAATGTTAGGTTACGTAAAACTTTTAAAGGTCAATTTACAACTCATAAAGAATAATTTATAAATGTCCAAGAAAAACTCGTGATCGATCATGGGTGTTCGTGATCTATGATCATAAAAAAATTGTAACCAATGGTACGGTACCAAAATATTATTTTTTTGGGTTGTGTAGAGATTAAAGATTGTCGTGTTTTGCATGCTAAAAAATTTCAAGTTGTCTCTCAGATTTAAAATTACCTCACTCTTAACCCTTGATTTGGTGAATAACAATGAATATGACAAGGGAAAGTTATAAAGATTACTATTAACCGCAAAAATTACAAGGAAATGACAACAGTGCATTCCTCAAGCTAGATGATTAAAACTTATACGGCATGTGATCTATCATGCATTACCATTCAAACTGGAAAAAGAACAAAGAATCTCAAACTGGTTGTTTTTCTGACATGGCTAAAACATCAAACACATGCTATACTTTTGGCAATAATCTACACTAATCGAACCAAAAACAAAGAGAAATTTAGCACCAAGTACCATTTTGGAGCTGAAGAGAGTAGCATTAATGCCAGAGCAGTGATTGTTGCAGCCAGAGAAACTTCCATTGAAAATACAGAAAAAACTTTCAGTTCTCAATCCTCTCTCTCTCTCTCTAACTTAAATTCCCAATCTCGGAACACCCATTTTTATCCCCTCACGATCTCAGACAAAGGAAAAAAAACCCAAGAATTCTCAAGCTCTACCTCGGGGGTGATAAGTGGAAGTGGTGTGAGATTCGTATACAAATGGAGTGTGGTTCTCTTTTTGGTTCGGAGAAGGCTAACAAGACCAAAAGCTCTTTGTAAGTGTAGGTTTGGGTGTTGGATAAAAATAACATATCTCTCTCTTAGATTCTATTTAGATGGCTATAATCTGGCTAGAAATAGTAATCTCATTCTTAATTTTATGGATTATGTTGTTAATGAGTCAATAATTTATATCAGGAATAAACTTAGTATTACAATTAAATTTTCAATGAGAGTGAAAATCTTAAACTCACCATCAATTATGATAATCTCATTACCAACTTAATTGAGTATTCTTAAAAAAGAATAAAAAATCATATTCAAATGCAAAATTCTTCTCATTAGTTTGTTGCTAAAGCCAAGCTAGATTAAGATGACATTTTGAATTTAAATAATCGATAAAAGTACCCAAACTTAATCTAGTTGTCCAATATTTCAAACTGGAAGGTCGAGGACAAAAATTAAAATTTCGTTTAGAAATTGTCGAAACGTTCCTATTTTCAGATAAATCGAAATGAGTTAGTGATTGAATCGAAACACCAACACTTCAAGCTGTTTCAATGTTTTTTGAGATATTTTGATATGTGTTCCACTATTATTTTGAAATATTTTAGGTTTTTTAAGATATCTTAGATATATATTTTAACTAATATTTCAAAATATTGTTTTTAAAAAAAATATTTTTTTTTTTATTTTTGAAACGTTTTTAAAATATTTTTATTTCTTTAAGTGATTAAAATAATACACCAAAATAAAATTTACGAAACACTAATTTTTAGGTTGATTGTCCGTCTAGTTGGAGTTGTATTATACTATTTTTTATTTTGAAAAGTTTTATTATGTTCTTCTTTTTCAATTTGAAATTTATAATAGTTCTCAATTATTATATATATATATATATATCAAAAAACAAAAAATAATTTATATCAATCGCCAATAATTGAGAATTGATGGGAGCCCCAATATGTCGCATTCCTAGGGGCACGAGAGTATGCGGCCCGTGCCACTATTTTTGCTAATTAGCTCACGGAACCTCTTACCTAAAAAATATCAAAACCTACGCCGACCAAACCCCATCAACCCCCATATATCAACTGTGGTTCAAATCAACAATCACTGTCTAAATTAATTACACTTTGACCCCTTGATAATTTTAAAATTTTCAAATTGCCTCTCCAATTTTAAATTACCTCACACTCTAACCCTTTATTTGTATGTATATTTATTGTTAATTTTCTCATTTTATTGCAATTGGCACTCTCATTTTAAAATTTTGAGAAAATGATGATTTTTTTTTTTTTGTTATAGGTTGTTCAAGTTTGTGTTGACTACTTTCTCGAATACAACAGTTACGTAACTTGAATTAGATTAGAGCATGTCCTAAAGGGATAAGAGTGGTTAGCCCTTAAAGAATGTGAGAAGAAATTAAATTTAAGATCTTTAGATTACCAAATGACAAACTCAATCACTAAAACACCCCTAAAGACCGAGAAAATGATGAATGAGTGTAAAGGAAATGGAAGGAAAACTCAAAAATTAAATAAGAAAGGTTGATATAAAATTTTAAAAAATGAAGCGTGGTGTAAAACATATGAGTCAAATTAAATTCTAAAAAATATTTTAGGGACGAAGTGTCGTTAACGCAACTATTCTCAACCTTTGTATTGTTTGCAATAAATTATAAACTCATTTTGACTTTGGATGTGAAGTGTGAGAAAGCATGATATTGATGACTTTTTTTTTTTGTGTTTTTTTATGTCGTGGAAAGTTGGTTTGGGTTAACACCGCTGACAAATTTCTTGTATTGGAAATTAGCTGTCTCGCGCATTATGGTTTTTTCTTTGTTTTGTCGGTGGGTGGGTGGTGACCAAATTGAAACCAGCAATATTAAGGTCTGATAAAATTCATAGCTTAAATAGATAAAAATACGACACCGTCTTCAATATTATTATAAAAGTGTTCAGGATTACATTGATTATTCTTTCAAATTCAACAATTAACTATTATGACTTGAGTTGAGTTATAGTATATTCTTAAAGAGAAAAAAATAATTAACCGTTAAAAAGTGTAAAAATAGATTGAATTTAAGACTTTTAAAATATTAAAGACCAAACTCAATTACTGCATCACCTCTAAAGATCCCGGACTTCAATATCGCATCAATGATTCATTGATTCTACGTAAAACGCTGAGGATTACGCTGTTTTTCTAGACCCATTTAATCCGAGTGGACACATGTATCATACATTCGAAATAATATAATTGGATAGCATTTAGGGGGCGTTTGGATAGCGGGTTAAAAGGTAGTAATCCACCGATTGGATGGAATAAAATGGGCCTGGTCAAGGCGGGCATTAATCTAGCTTGCCTGTTGGGATTAAAAGGGCCAAAACCCACAACCCCTGGGCCTATATGGTCAGCCATAAGCCCACCACATGGCTCATCTCAGTCAGCCAATAACCCAACGGCTCACTTGGCTAACGGACTAATCCGTTTACCAAATATCATTTGTCAAGACTTACAAAGTTTTATAAATGTTTTTACATGTTTTGGTATGTTTCAATCAATATTTTGCCTGTCGGGTGAATTGTTGATCCTGAATGTCACGTAGTCCCAGTCATCTACATGCTCCCCTATTTTTCCCATTGCCGGTCCATTAAAAGGGTGTTAGAGCCATATAAGAGTCTGGTGCTTCAAATGCAGGTTTGGTGGCTCAAAAAATGTTGCACCAAACTTGTATGGTCCACCTCATGTGCAGCCCAACTTTAGTGAAACATGTTATATGGCAGACCTTTACTCCTCCTATATCAGTGTGTTGCCCTGGGTAGGGCTGCTAGAATCCTAAGATTTGGTGGATGGTTTAATCAACTTGATAGATGGGCGTTTGTTGTTGAGTTACTTAAAAGAAAGAAATTGTGTCCGNTGATAAAATTCATAGCTTAAATAGATAAAAATACGACACCGTCTTCAATATTATTATAAAAGTGTTCAGGATTACATTGATTATTCTTTCAAATTCAACAATTAACTATTATGACTTGAGTTGAGTTATAGTATATTCTTAAAGAGAAAAAAATAATTAACCGTTAAAAAGTGTAAAAATAGATTGAATTTAAGACTTTTAAAATATTAAAGACCAAACTCAATTACTGCATCACCTCTAAAGATCCCGGACTTCAATATCGCATCAATGATTCATTGATTCTACGTAAAACGCTGAGGATTACGCTGTTTTTCTAGACCCATTTAATCCGAGTGGACACATGTATCATACATTCGAAATAATATAATTGGATAGCATTTAGGGGGCGTTTGGATAGCGGGTTAAAAGGTAGTAATCCACCGATTGGATGGAATAAAATGGGCCTGGTCAAGGCGGGCATTAATCTAGCTTGCCTGTTGGGATTAAAAGGGCCAAAACCCACAACCCCTGGGCCTATATGGTCAGCCATAAGCCCACCACATGGCTCATCTCAGTCAGCCAATAACCCAACGGCTCACTTGGCTAACGGACTAATCCGTTTACCAAATATCATTTGTCAAGACTTACAAAGTTTTATAAATGTTTTTACATGTTTTGGTATGTTTCAATCAATATTTTGCCTGTCGGGTGAATTGTTGATCCTGAATGTCACGTAGTCCCAGTCATCTACATGCTCCCCTATTTTTCCCATTGCCGGTCCATTAAAAGGGTGTTAGAGCCATATAAGAGTCTGGTGCTTCAAATGCAGGTTTGGTGGCTCAAAAAATGTTGCACCAAACTTGTATGGTCCACCTCATGTGCAGCCCAACTTTAGTGAAACATGTTATATGGCAGACCTTTACTCCTCCTATATCAGTGTGTTGCCCTGGGTAGGGCTGCTAGAATCCTAAGATTTGGTGGATGGTTTAATCAACTTGATAGATGGGCGTTTGTTGTTGAGTTACTTAAAAGAAAGAAATTGTGTCCATACTAAGACCTAAGATTTCTTGTGTAACAATAAGTGCTTTGAACCAATAATTACTATCAGAGTGAGGTCAGGAGTTCGAGTCTCAAGGTAGTTGGGAGGAGGGGGGGGGGAGAGAGAGAGATTATTGGTCTAAATAAAGGTGCAGAGTGAAAGATTTAACCAACTTGACGTGTAGGCGTTTGTTGTTGAGTTATTTATAAGAAAAAGGTTATGTCTTCATTAACACATGTAAGTTTTGGTGTAACTGTGAGTTTTCGATCCAACATAGTGGTGCAACTAACAAATTATTTACCTCAACTCAACTCAACAAAATTTTATTATAATATTTTTTAGGTCAGTTACATAAATTCTCTTTCGTCATTATGCCTTATCAATGTTTATGTTTTTTATTATACCAGAAGTTATAATGTATTTCTTTACTATTTCACTTGACCGTAACTTTGACCTACATTTACTCCTATGCTTACCTTCAATGCTGTCGTAAATTATCTATAATTGTGTCCAAAACACTTAATTGATTCTCCTTTAATTTATCCTTTGTAAATGTCATCTACACTTTTTCAAAGATAAAATCATTCCTATTTCTTATTTATATGATATACTACTAGTCCAACCCCCAGTGCGATGCACAAGATTATAATTTGTGTATTTTTTAATTTTTTTAATTTTATAACTTGAGAAGTTAAATAAATAATTATATAAATTTTTTGGGTGATAAAAAGTGATTTTTTTTGAATAAATTTTAAAAAATTGAAGTTACCAATGGCATGTGTCTGAATACGGCGAGCCTAAAATTTTGAATTAAAAAATTTTAGATTTTAAAAAATTAGAAAATGTGGAGAGAAGATTTCTCGAGTCTTGACACCTTTTTTTTTTTATAAAAACAAAATACACACCTCTGGTTTGATTGTTATATATATATATATATATATATATATGTGCTAGCTAATACTCGTGTCTGAAGGCACTACGTAATATAATAAATCATCAATTAGAAAAATTGCCAATTAATCTGCCTCCACGATTTTTTTAAAAAAATCGATAGAGTTTCTTGTAAAATAGCATCCCATGAAATTCTCAACTTATATATATAATTTTATATATTCAAATTTATTGGATTACTATCACAACAGTGTATTTCCTCATACAACCATTTCCAAACACTGCAACACCATCATAGTAATGAAGTAAACATCTTAATACACGCATCGAGACTTACTCTACCCCAAAAACTCATGCATCATGAGAACAACACCACATTCATATTATTCAAACAAAGAGTCAAATCAAACTATACTTCTAAATATATGCTCCAATGTATGTAATTTAACAACGCTAAATCAAAACCAACTTTTTTGCATCCTCTCTCCTAGCTACTTTTGCTTCTTTTTCTAGGCTAATGATGGTATCCTTACGATTTGCAGATAAAAAAGGGATAACCAGTTATAAACGACAGTCTTGCACAATAAAATTCCATGATACCTAAAGAAAAAATTAAGTTAGGTAATAACTCATCTCAATGAGGAATAGCATATGAAACCTGTTAATATTTAGCATGGATGAGTTTCATTTTATTTCCTTGATAATAAGAACGAATACAAAAAAAAATATGGAAATCCTAAAGGCACTATGTAACACAAAAAAAAAAATATGAAAATTCAAACCAATGAAATTCAATGAGGGTAAGAATAGAGGAAAGTAATCAATCAAATAAATAACCATAAAATTGGATGGACACTTGAAGTCCTTGTCTGAGGTACTATGTAATACAAAAAAAATATTTTTCCAATTGAAAAAACCAAGAAATAACAAACTACGCAAAAACAATAAAGCGTGAAACAAAATTGCTAATACCACTAACAACACAAAGTTTATTTTATTTTAAATCAACCAAACTCGTCGACTAAACTCTCGATTGCATTCCCAAAACATCCATCCTCCTTACTCATCCTCCTTACTTGCATTTTGAAAGAGTCTCTGTAGAGCAAACCAAACTCTCAAACCATATGCAATTATACATGTTTGCTAAATCTAGTGGGGTGTGTAAAGAGCCTCTGTAGAGCAAACCAACTCTCAAACCATATGCAATTATACATGCTTGCTAAATCTTGTGGGGTGTGTGTTGGTGGATGCGTGGGTGTTGCCTGGTTAAGCATTACTGTGGCACCACATAAACCAACATAAATGTTTAAACTTTTTCATGTAAAACTACACCTTAACACGCTTTTTATCCCAAACCTAAAAAAAATCCTACAAATCAAATAGGAAAAGCTCTCATTAAAAATCAAATTAAAAAAAAATTCATAGTACAAGGGACACTAAGCATGCCTTGTCAGAGAACTCAAAAATAATCATAGATGTAGCCTTTAAGAATTCCCCAAAATAATCATAGATGTAGCCCCACTGTCAAACACCAAAATTGGTAATTGAGTTTAAACAACTTTATGTTAATTGCAAGAAGCTTAGAGAGGGGTCGCCGCCCCCATGACCCAATTTCCAAATGGAAGATAAGAGACAAAGATTTATGTATAATTTTTACCCAAAATGTGTAGCGATCTGTGCCCGGAAGCGAGAATCCCTATGAAAAATATTTTGTTCCTTATTATATAGCATTAGTCATTTTAGAATGGTGGAAAAAATCAATAACATCCAACTATGGATCAATGTCAAAAATCACCCGAAGGTTACAGGTCCCTATCACAAGAATACAGATAAATTGCATCCAATGTTCATTCAACCACAGCTAAAACCCCTTCCATGAAAACAAGAATCAATTTTTTATGAGCATCATACAATCAAACTTACATAGGCCACATTCTAGAAAAGTATCTGTTGTGATCGTGCAACAATTATGGTGAATAATAAGGAATCAAACAATTAAGAAAGCAAGAGAAAATAACACAGAGATTTACGTGGTTCGAAAATGTGTCTACATCCACAGGAGCGAGCAGCCGTTTTTTTTCATTATTCAAAGTAGGATTACATCTTAAGTATTTATATAACCCTAGTACGGAAATATTTACAAAATACCCATGTATTGTACCGCGGGGGCGTTGTCCCTGCACTCCCAACTAATCAGCGTCTCCCCCCCATATATAAAAATATATCAATCTCGCAAGACAGATGCTATCGTGGGCTTCGCTCCGGCATCTGTCTCCTTGTCATTGTGCACACAGCAAATATGAGCCACACATACTCTACACAATCTCTACCTTGGCAAAATATTCACTCCTTAGGAAAAAAAGAGAACATGTATCCGAAAACTCCACCGGGGAAGCTAAGTTGGGGCATTTCTCATCTAGCAACTAGAGACATTAATCAAGTCCAAGCAGTGCTTGAACTTGTCTGTAGTAATAGGCTTTGTCTACATGTTTGCTGCATTCTCAGAAGTGTGAACTTTCTCAAGTAATAGTTCACCAGAAGAAACCAGCTCCCTGATCTTATGAAACCTCACTTCTATGTGTTTGGTCCTCGCATGATACACCTGGTTCTTTGCCAAATAAATGGCACTCTGACTGTCACAATGGAACTAAACTCCACCTTGCTGGGCACCTAGCTCCTTGACCAAACCTGTAAGCCACAAAGCCTCATTGACAGCCTTAGCTATTGTCATATACTCTGACTTAGTAGTAGATAGTGCAACTATAGACTATACCATGGACTTCCAACAAATAGGTCCTCCCACAAGAGTAAACACATAACCTGTGGTAGACCTCCTGTCATCCAAGTCCCCTGCATAGGCTGCATCCACATATCCCATAACTGAAGGGTCACTCTGTTGTCTGCTAAACATGATGTCATAGTCTGTAGTGCCCCTCAATTATCTGAAAATTCACTTGACTGCATCTCAATGCTATCGACCTGGATTTGAAATAAACTTGCTAACCACGCTGACAGTCTGTGCCAAATCTGATCTTATACAAACCATAGCATACATCAAACACCCCACTGAACTAGCATATGAGACCTTTGACATGTCATGAACTTTATCATCTATCTTCGGGCACTGAGCGGTAGACAATCTGAAATGATTCGGTAAAGGTGTACTTACTGGTTGTGCATAACTCATGTTGAACCTATCCAACACCTTTTCAACATAGTTATGCTGAGATAGCCATAATCTCCTGAAACTTCTGTCCCTGCGAATCTCCATCCCAAGAATCTTCTTAGCTATACCCAAATCCTTCATGTCAAATTCTCTGCTTAACAAAGTCTTCAACTTGTTGACCTCACTCATACTCTTGGCAGCAATCAACATGTCATCCACATAAAGTAACAGAAAAATAAATGAATCATCATCAAGGCTTTTCACATAGACACAACAATCATACTCACACCTTTTGTAGCCAATCCGGATCATGTAAAAGTCAAATCGCTTGTACCACTGCCTCAGAGACTATTTTAGCCCATAAAGTGATTTCTTTAAATTACAGACCAAATGTTCCTCTCCAGGGAGACTGACCCCTTCTAGTTGTAGCATGTAAATTTGTTCCTCCAAGTCGACATGAAGGAAAGTTGTCTTTATATCCATCTCCTCCAACTGCATATCTGAACTAATGCCAACACTGTCCTGATGGAAGTGTGTCTGACCACAGGGGAGAAGATCTCATCATAGACAACCCTTTTTCTCTGTGAGTAACCCTTTGTTACTAGATGAACCTTGAATTTTTTCCCCTTCTTTTCTTATACTGCTTCTTTCTTCTTATACACCTATTTGCACCCTATCGCTCTCTTCCCCTCGGGAAGCTCCACCAACTCCCATGTCTAGTTCTTATGCAAAGACTCCATCTTCTCTACCATAGCACCCATCCCATCTACTTTTCTCTTGGTTTTGTACTGCCTCTTGAAAAGTTGTAGGATCACCGCTACTAGTAATAAGCGCATAAGAAACCAAATCTTCAAAATCATACCTAGTAGGCGACTTGATATTGCGTTTGGGCCTGTCTGTGGCTATACTGTGATGCTGCTGATCACCTGAGATAGAACTCTCTACATGTTGAGCATCCTCTTCTCTACCATGGTTCTCTAGCTCCACCTACACCACATGCTCATTAGTGCTACACTTTTCTGGCACTTGTTTCTCTTCTTCCTGAGTACGCTGCAACATGGCTTTTTTCATCAAAAATCACATCTCTACTGACTACCATCTTGTTTGCCTTCGGATCCCAGAACTTGAAGCCTTTCACCCCTTTCTGATATCCCAGAAAGATACACTGTCTAGACTTCTCATCAAGCTTCGACCTCTCCTCACTAGAAACATGTACATGGGCTGGACATCCAAACACTCTCAAACCAGAGTAGTCTACCTCACTACCTGTCCACATCTCCTCTGATACTTTCCCATCTAGTGCTGCCCTCATCTATTAATCAAGAAACATGTCATATTTACTGCCTCTGCCCAGAAATTCTTTGCAAGCCCTGCATTCAACCTGAGACACTGAGTTTTCTTAGCTATCGTTCTGTTCATCATTTCTACTACACCATTTTGTTGTGGTGTCTTGTGGACTAGGAAGTGTCTCTTGATCTCATGTTGCTCACACAACTCCTGAAACTTTGAATCTGTGTACTCAGTACCATTATCTGACCTGAGGCATTTAATCTTCCTCCCTGTCTGGTTCTCTACTTCAGCTTTCCATAGCTTGAACTTGGCAAACGCTTTGGACTTGTGTCGCATGAAGTACACCCAAACCTTTCGCGAGTAGTCATCAATGAAACTCACGAAATACATGTATCTTCCCTATGATACTACACTAACTGGTCCCCAAACATCTGTATGGACATAATCGAGAATCCCCTCTGTCTTGTGTGTGGCTGTCTTCAACTACATCCTGTTCTGTTTTCCAAGAACACAATATTTACAAAAATTGAGCTTACATTTCTTGACACCCTTCAATAGATTTTTCTTATGAAGCTCTATCATCCCATGCTCACTCATATGACCCAGCCGCATATGCCACAAGATTGTACTATCTGATTCAGACTCTATAGTAGCAACTTCACCTACAATCGTGGTACCCAGCAGTCTGTAAATGTTTCCTGCTACTTTTTGTTCCTTCATCACTGTCAGCATACCTTTACTCACTTTCATTACTACACTTATAGATTTGTAACTATAACCATTACAACCTAAAGTGCCTAATAAAATCAGATTATTCCTTAGATCTGGTACATGTTTAACATCACACAACGTTCTAACCACATCATCAAACATCTTAATTATAATATTCCCTATTCTAACAACTTTGCAGATACATCGTTATCCATTAGAACAGAACCATAATTTACTGACCTGAAAGTGTCAAATCAATCTTTGTTGGGTGTCATGTTATAGGAACATGTTGAATCCATAATCCAGAAATCTGTTAGACAATCTGAACTGGATGAAACAGAAAGCATATCACCGTCACCGCTCTCTGAATCTTCTTCTTCCACTATGTTTGCAGACTTTGATGGACCCTCTTTGTCCTCTGAATTCCCTTTCTTTTTCTCTGGACAGTCCCGTTTAAAAGGCCCCTTTTTCCCGCACTTGTAACATGAGATGGAGACGTCCTTCTTCTTCTTTCTCGACTTGGACCGACTTTATTATTACTCGATCCATTCTGAGATTTGCTTCTTTCACGTTCCTGGTTACCTTTCACCACAAGCCTTTCACCTTGTGAAGCCTCATCACTGGTTTTCTTCTGCTAATGAAAACCTAACAGAGCACATATGACATCCTCTAACTCGAGGGTTTTTTTTCCCCACATCAGAGTCATAACCAAATTATCGTACGTAAGAGACGCTGGTAGGGAATTCAGCAACATCAACGCCTTGTCTTTGTCTTCGAACTTCACATCAACTCGCTTCAGATCGCTGATGATCTGATTGAACACGTTGATGTGTTGGGTCAGATCCGAGCCCTCTGACATCTTAAGACCATATAGTTTCTGCTTAAGATAGAGCTTGTTCGTCAACGACTTGGACATATACCGATTTTCCAATTTCAACCAAACTTTCGCCGATGATTCCTCATCTAAGACGTGATACATCACATCATCAGCCAGACAAAGCCTAATAGTCGCCACACCCTTCGCTTCCAATTCTTTCCAATCCATGTCGCTCATTCCTGCCGGTTGTTTTTCGTATAACGCCTTCACCATGCCCTGCTGCACTAATAGGTCATTCATCCTTCTCTTCCATAATTCAAAATTTTCAGTTCCGTCGAACTTCATGATGTCGAATTTTGCAGAAGAAATCCCAGACATCATAGCCTTGCTCTGATACCAGTTGTTGTGATCGTGCAGTAATTGTGGTGAATAATAAGGAATCAAACAATTAAGAAAGCAAGAGAAAATAACACAAAAATTTACGTTGTTCGACAATGTGCCTACATCCACAGGAGCGAGCGGCCGTTCTTTTTCATTATTCAAAGTAGGGTTACATCTTAAGTATTTATATAACTCTAGTACGAACATATTTACAAAATACCCCTGTACCCCCAACTAATCAGCGTCCCCCCCATACATAAAATATATAAATCCCGCAAGGCAGATGCCATCGCGGGCTTCGCTCCGGCATATGCCTCCTTACCATTGTGCACACAGTAAATATGAGCCACACATACTCTAACAGTATCTCAGGGAAGAGAACGTACCCTGAAAGTGAGCTGGTAGTCAGCTGGCGCTCCACCCTTTTCACCCCCCCCAACTCACCTGTAGGCCCTCGAGGACCCCCACGATACCCATCCTTGTCGCCAAACCTTGGTCTATCCCCTTCAAACCTTGGACCACTGTGAATATCAATTAACCAACACATAGATCACATTACAACCAAAAATCAAAATAGAACCTAATGAATTATGTAACTTTTAAGCCAATTAGAGAAAATAAAAAAATATACCAGAGACGATCGCCTGGAGGACCGCCAAAAGGGCAACTTAGTGGCTTGGTGGACTTCTTCAGAGTGGTCGGCACGATCTCAGATGGAAGATTGAGATAACTCCTGAGGAACTCGATGCCATCATTGGTGAGGTACCAATAGTAATGCATCCAAGCGAAGGTCTCACGCACGTACTCCTTCGATTTGAAGCTCTGCATCAATTTGATCACCTGGAGATTTGGTACATCGATCTCTGGATGCTTCGCTAGGTTGTAGTCCTTCTTTGCAAAGCACACTCCCTCTGCAGAGGATTCACCGCAAATCCCATTTTACAAAATACACAGACAAACACATACATACAAACAGAGGGGGAGAGAGAAAAACCTTGGAAGAGGTATTTGGAGATCTCTCTCCGATTCTTCTCTGTGATAATCTGAGGAAGAAAATGGAAACATTAGTTAATTCACACAAAGACATCAATATGAATACACTTCTATATACACATACAGAGAGAGAGAGAGAAGCTCACCATGGCTGCTGTGGGTTTGTGGAAGAGAGGAAGAAACGAAGACAACACTCTCGTCTTGTTATAGGAGCTGCGAAACTGTGAAACCTAATGGGGGTGCTGAATATCCAGATTAGGGTTTTTAATGGGCTTGAATTGGACTGTATTGAGCCCAATGAAAACGATGTTGAAATGCACTTGGGTCATCATAAGTATTATTTGCTTGGCCCATTAAGTATATGTTTTTATGAGCCCAATTCAACTCTATTTAGCAACCGAGTTGTCTTTGACATGTTTGTTACATGCTGAAGACTATGAGTTTTTTTTTTTTTTTTTTCAAGGAACAAGAAAAAGGGTTCGAGGGGGNAATCGCATTTTACAAAATACACAGACAAACACATACATACAAATAGAGGGGGAGAGAGAGAAACCTTGGAAGAGGTATTTGGAGATCTCTCTACAATTCTTCTTTGTGATAATTTAAGGAATAAAATGGAAACATTGGTTAATTCACACAAAGACATCAATATGAATACACTTCTAGATACACATACACACACACATACAGAAACTCACCATGGCTGCTGTGGGATTGTGGAAGAGAGGAAGAAACAAAGACGACTACAACTTAATGGGGGTGTTGAATATCCAGATTAGGGTTTTTAAGAATTCTCCAAAACTACTTTAGATAGGGATAGAGGTGTGAGACATTGAGAAAGAGAGGCAGAAGTGAGAGAGAGAGAGAGAGGCGTGAGAGAGATAGAGGCAGAAGTGAGAGGGAGAGACCTGTGTTGGGCGATTGAATGTGTTTATGTTTTGTCTCAAAACGATCTAAACTTTTCTTTACCTTTTGGATTCAAATTTCGTTCTAATTTATTATATATATATATATATATATATCAACTCTTTTTTCTAGATCTATCAACTCATTTGGAAAAACTCTTTTTTGATAAATATTTTGGTATGCATAACATTATTCGTTCGTATAAACACGTTTTGTATTAAACTGATTAAAAATTCTTATATATTTTTGTTGTTATATTTGCGATGATAACAATGATGATAAGCCGACTACCATGATGGTGAAAATAACAACATCGTAACATTACAGTTATCAGACAAAACAAACGAAAGAGCGACTGTTTCAAACTGGATGGTTATGGCTTACATCAATGTGCTCTAATCTTGTCCAGCCTCATGGAGTTACCTTCAAAACTATAATAGATTATTTCGATTTTTTTTTTTCTTTCTGATCTCAACATTTGGCACTGCCCAATTGCCTAGAGAANATATTTACAAAATACCCCTGTACCCCCAACTAATCAGCGTCCCCCCCATACATAAAATATATAAATCCCGCAAGGCAGATGCCATCGCGGGCTTCGCTCCGGCATATGCCTCCTTACCATTGTGCACACAGTAAATATGAGCCACACATACTCTAACAGTATCTCAGGGAAGAGAACGTACCCTGAAAGTGAGCTGGTAGTCAGCTGGCGCTCCACCCTTTTCACCCCCCCCAACTCACCTGTAGGCCCTCGAGGACCCCCACGATACCCATCCTTGTCGCCAAACCTTGGTCTATCCCCTTCAAACCTTGGACCACTGTGAATATCAATTAACCAACACATAGATCACATTACAACCAAAAATCAAAATAGAACCTAATGAATTATGTAACTTTTAAGCCAATTAGAGAAAATAAAAAAATATACCAGAGACGATCGCCTGGAGGACCGCCAAAAGGGCAACTTAGTGGCTTGGTGGACTTCTTCAGAGTGGTCGGCACGATCTCAGATGGAAGATTGAGATAACTCCTGAGGAACTCGATGCCATCATTGGTGAGGTACCAATAGTAATGCATCCANTTTCTTCAAAGTGGTAGGCACGATCTCAGATGGAAGATTGAGGTAACTCCTAAGGAACTTGATGCCATCATTGGTGAGGTACCAATAGTAATGCATCCAAGCGAAGGTTTCACGCACGTACTCCTTTTGATTTGAAGCTCTGCATCAACTTGATCACCTGAAGATTTGGTACATCGATCTCTAGATGCTTCGCTAGGTTGTAGTCCTTCTTTGCAAAGCACACTCACTCAGCAAAGGATTCACCGCAAATCGCATTTTACAAAATACACAGACAAACACATACATACAAATAGAGGGGGAGAGAGAGAAACCTTGGAAGAGGTATTTGGAGATCTCTCTACNATAAGGAATCAAACAATTAAGAAAGCAAGAGAAAATAACACAAAAATTTACGTTGTTCGACAATGTGCCTACATCCACAGGAGCGAGCGGCCGTTCTTTTTCATTATTCAAAGTAGGGTTACATCTTAAGTATTTATATAACTCTAGTACGAACATATTTACAAAATACCCCTGTACCCCCAACTAATCAGCGTCCCCCCCATACATAAAATATATAAATCCCGCAAGGCAGATGCCATCGCGGGCTTCGCTCCGGCATATGCCTCCTTACCATTGTGCACACAGTAAATATGAGCCACACATACTCTAACAGTATCTCAGGGAAGAGAACGTACCCTGAAAGTGAGCTGGTAGTCAGCTGGCGCTCCACCCTTTTCACCCCCCCCAACTCACCTGTAGGCCCTCGAGGACCCCCACGATACCCATCCTTGTCGCCAAACCTTGGTCTATCCCCTTCAAACCTTGGACCACTGTGAATATCAATTAACCAACACATAGATCACATTACAACCAAAAATCAAAATAGAACCTAATGAATTATGTAACTTTTAAGCCAATTAGAGAAAATAAAAAAGTATACCAGGGACGATCGCCTGGAGGACCGCCAAAAGGGCAACTTAGTGGCTTGGTGGATTTCTTCAAAGTGGTAGGCACGATCTCAGATGGAAGATTGAGGTAACTCCTAAGGAACTTGATGCCATCATTGGTGAGGTACCAATAGTAATGCATCCAAGCGAAGGTTTCACGCACGTACTCCTTTTGATTTGAAGCTCTGCATCAACTTGATCACCTGAAGATTTGGTACATCGATCTCTAGATGCTTCGCTAGGTTGTAGTCCTTCTTTGCAAAGCACACTCACTCAGCAAAGGATTCACCGCAAATCGCATTTTACAAAATACACAGACAAACACATACATACAAATAGAGGGGGAGAGAGAGAAACCTTGGAAGAGGTATTTGGAGATCTCTCTACAATTCTTCTTTGTGATAATTTAAGGAATAAAATGGAAACATTGGTTAATTCACACAAAGACATCAATATGAATACACTTCTAGATACACATACACACACACATACAGAAACTCACCATGGCTGCTGTGGGATTGTGGAAGAGAGGAAGAAACAAAGACGACTACAACTTAATGGGGGTGTTGAATATCCAGATTAGGGTTTTTAAGAATTCTCCAAAACTACTTTAGATAGGGATAGAGGTGTGAGACATTGAGAAAGAGAGGCAGAAGTGAGAGAGAGAGAGAGAGGCGTGAGAGAGATAGAGGCAGAAGTGAGAGGGAGAGACCTGTGTTGGGCGATTGAATGTGTTTATGTTTTGTCTCAAAACGATCTAAACTTTTCTTTACCTTTTGGATTCAAATTTCGTTCTAATTTATTATATATATATATATATATATATCAACTCTTTTTTCTAGATCTATCAACTCATTTGGAAAAACTCTTTTTTGATAAATATTTTGGTATGCATAACATTATTCGTTCGTATAAACACGTTTTGTATTAAACTGATTAAAAATTCTTATATATTTTTGTTGTTATATTTGCGATGATAACAATGATGATAAGCCGACTACCATGATGGTGAAAATAACAACATCGTAACATTACAGTTATCAGACAAAACAAACGAAAGAGCGACTGTTTCAAACTGGATGGTTAAGGCTAACATCAATGTGCTCTAATCTTGTCCAGCCTCATGGAGTTACCTTCAAAACTTTAATAGATTATTTCGACTTTTATTTCTTTCTGATCTCAACATTTGGCACTGCCCAATTGCCTAGAGAATCAATCGATACAAAATTAATGGATTTAAAATCTAACCTTAGCAAGCTTGAGTGATGAATGAATAAACACATTTGACTCGTCAAAATTAAAATGGAACAGCTAAACACAATTGGGATAGTTTGCACATGATTGGATCCAATACAAACTATACAAGACTATAATTTTTTTTTTTTAAAACCAAATACAAAAACTATAAATTGATTATGTATACATTACATAAAATTTAATCTAGTATAATTTATATACGGTATAAATCATTGACCTGACTCGACACGACACAGACCCTAGAATCGAGAGGCCAATACAAATGTTGGTAGGGGTGGGAATAATGATGGTGGAGGTGAATGTGATGGTGGTTGCGGTGAAGGTGGTGGTGCTTTACACATAAAACTTCGTCATTTTTTTGAATAAAACAGCGTTGTTTTGAGAAACAACTCCCCTGCTGTGCTGTACAGTAGAGAATCCGTTATCACACTACATTTGTCGGTATTAAACCTTCCATGACAAAAAGATTGAATTTTTACTACGAAACACAGTATCATACAAACGGCTGACTTTAAATGTATCATATATCATGATCATTAACTGACCTCTCTCTCTCTCTCTCTCTCTCTATATATATATATATATATATATATATATATGAGTGTGATTTGAAAGGCATCCCACCGCCGTACCCGCCGGGCTGTCCTGCAAATGGCCACCAAACCTCCTTCCCCGGATTCGCTAAATCTTGCAAAAATTGGATTCTAAGTATACTCTAATATTTTTTTATTTTGACAAATTATTTGATATTAACGAGTGTGATACCCAGTTATATACAATGAATGAGTTCCAATTAAATTTACACTAAGTGATCTACAAGAGGAGAAAATAAAATATATATATATTAAAGAGGATCTCGAACTACAAACACATAGAGTTAGTCAATCGTTTTTAGATGATATTTTTAATTCATACATTATCTTACGGCACGGACAAGAAATCACAATAATACTATTGATATAGTTATATTACGTTTACATTTAGACATAATATCATTAGCCCATAACAAATAAATTAGTTCTTATAAGACTCACTTAATCCAATATGATTCTTATTGTAATAGTGAAACTCACAATCAGTGACGCTACGTTTTGAATGATATTGTAATATAGGGTAAAATATATTTTATTCTCTTAAATTATTCTCTTTATTTTATTTTGTATTTTCAATTATAAATTTTTCACATTACATTCTAAAGTATCAATTTTATTTTATATTACTTAAATAAATAATTATTTTCAATTTTTTAACAGTAAATGTGCATGTAAGTGATCTGTATTATCAATAAGCAATTGTCTATTGCACATGTACAAGTCAAAAATCAAGAAAAATATAAATCCATGACTTTGTCATTTCTAAACTTTAAATTTTCTTTTATTGTCGAGCTTCTTTTTCTTTACAGAAACTATTTGGTTACAAAAAAAAAAATAAAGTGTTAGTAGACACTTTGCAGGAATTTTTTGAGGTTTTTCTACCTCATTTGACAGATTTTCAAATTTGTAATAAAATTAATATTTTAAAATGTAATGTAAAAAATTTTATAATTAAGAGTATAAAATAAAATAAGAGTAATAAAATAAGAGGTAAATAGTAATTTACTCTCGTAATATCTTTGTCGGTGGAAGTATCTTGAGTGTGCGAGTTGGATCTCTCCTACAAATGGAAACCAATCCTCGTTCCACGGCTTACAATATGTTTTTTATTGAACTAAAAAAAAAGGTAAATTTCCGAAAAATTACTTCACATACTTAGACGGACAAAGAATGTTGCAGAAAAGTCAGAACTCCGCCGAAGCACTATGGCAAGCATCGGATATGGTGGTGGCCTGCAGACAGGTTTTATCTTGAAGACGTCGACCGTGAAAAGCGGCTTGCCGGCGATGTGTTTTTAAACATAGTAAGTCTCATCGGATCTTTCAAGTTAAATAATTAAACGGTTTCAAAAAAAAAACACATGAAAAAAGACTTAAGGCATGTCCCGTTAGACGAGTCAAATAATGAGATGGTACGAACTCCATTAAATATTATTTAAATTTGTTAAACATTATTTGTACACATTGTAAATTCAATACGACATAAAAACCCGACTCCGACCCAACTATTTTATTATTCTAGACACTGTTTGCCAAATCAACAAAATTAAAGGATTGATTTTAGCGAATTTGAATGATAAACTCATTAACTAGTTGGACACGTCAAATAATTGGATTCGCATATTGTATTTGATCGGGTTTTAATCCCAAATAAATGATTCGACAAAAACGTCTTTTTATACACAACATAAATTTGATAAACATGATTTAAATATCATGTACACTCGACTCGACACAACACGAACTCGAGCCAAGTAACGTGACTTGCCGGCAATGTTGTCTTAAACAAAATAAGGCTTTTCGGAACCTCCAAATTAATTAGTCAAACGATTCCACAAAGCACATGAAAAAGACTAATGGAAACAATCTGACAAATTGGTATTATTTTGATGTTTGTTGCGAAAGTGTATAGCCACCAAGTTCAACTTGCATTATTGTAAAAAAACAAAAAATGGAATTACATTGTTGCTAATACGGCAATTGAATTCTGAAATTCGTTTGTTTGTTTAGTCGGATAATGATAAAAAAATAAAAAATAAATAAATTTTAATTTTTTAAGTGTTTGATCAGCATAAAATAAAAAAGTGATGACAAATATTTTATAGAACACATAAAGTTTTGCGATGTTGATATGTCTACTATATGATACGAACAGAGCGGCCAGCCCTTAGGTAACTAATTTGCTTGCCTAGAACTCAAGTTTTAGAGAGCCCTTACAATATTTATTCCTTTAGTATAGTAAACGTAAGTTTTTATTTTTTATTTTAGATATGATTAAAATTTTATGGCCCAAATTTTATTAGTTCAGATCAATATCTAATTTTATTAAGTTTAAAATTACTCTCTACTTGGTTAAACTCAAATTTTAGAGGCCTTCATAAAATTTACCACTTTAATATAATAGTCCTTTTTATTTTTATTTTTTGTATTTTAGATATGATTCAAATTTTTGGGGCTCAAATTTTAATAGTTTAAATCAATATTTAATTTTTTTGGGTCTAAAATTACTCCTTCGATTTAAAATTTTCTAAATATTATGGGTGTGTTCATAGTTATATTTCACTCACTCACATAAAAAATTTATATTCATTATTTTTTGTAGTAAAAATCTATAAAATTTGTTACTTTTTTGTTTTAATATAAATTTTCAGTCAAAATAATTTATACTTAAATTGTCTATGTTATTAAAGTTTGATACTTCATGCGTGCACATTATTTATGGGTAAAGAATGATTATTTGTTATCTTAAAATTATTCTTTGTTCACATATTCTATTATTAAATTACTTGTTGAAAACTTAAATTGATAAAATTTTATTTACAATCAATTAAGAGTGAATGAATTAAAAATATTATCCATTTAAAAAAATTATTGTCAAAACTTGAGTATAAAAACTTGATCAATATTTTAAATTTTTTAAAAAATAAAAAATAATTTTTTAAAACATAAAAAATTATAATAATTAAAAATAAAATATACTAATAGACAAAATATTAATAAGGCCTCATATGAAAATTTTGCCTGGGACCCTGTTTTACCTTGGGCCGCCTTTGGATACGAAAAACACAAAAAAAAATTGAAAATTAAAAAAGATAAACAAACCCCTTTCTATTTTTAAAAAAAAAAATCACAATCATGTAGGTCTTTGTAAAGTTCTTAACAAATATTGCAATTTAATGGCAACCATATGGTTTTTTTTTTTAAGAGCTTGTGTGTTTGGACCATGTATATTATATAGCACAAAATCCTCCAAATCCTCTAACTTTGCATACATGTCAAACCCAAGAATCCAATTCACAACCACTCCCCCAAACAAAATCATTAGGACTTAAAAGACTATATATTGTAGAGATATACAACTCTGAATGCCGCACCAAAAAATATTTTAATTCACGGAATAATTAAGTTACAATTTTTTTGAGATGTAAATTATATTTTCAAAAGACATGATTGATCATAAAAGGTTGGGATTGATACAAATATTTTCATGATTGATCATGAATGTCTGTGTTCGATCATGACCTTCTCTGAACAGTTATAACTTCTCCTTTTAAAGTTATAACTTTACCAATAAAAAAAAGTAACCTACGGTATGGTACCAAATTTATTTTTTAGTACCGTAGAATTTCCCTTTAATACAATCATATCGTCATCACCTTCGACTAGGGGTTTGGCATATATTTATACCTTTTGAATTTGACTATTACTCATCACATAAAATTCGAGATTAACTCATAGACATAATTTGTGAAAAGTTGTGTATATCCAATGTATCTCCTACTATATTATATAACAAACAAATTAGGAGAGAGAGACCTTAGGAGACTTTCTCTTTATTCTCGCGAGTTTTAGAATTTTAATTTATTTTAATGCATTCAATTAAATTATATTTTACCATTTGACATATTTATCCATCCACTAACTAATACCTCATTTAAAATTTTTAAAAATAAATTGTGGGATATGAAAGAGTAAAAATTAGTAAAACAAAAAAAGTCATGAAGGCGATTATGAGATACAAATTTCATAAATTGCACGGCATCGTCGCTCATACTTTGTAGCTATAAGTTTTTAAAAAATACGTCATTAAAATGATTCTCCCTCAAAAAAAACGATTTATAACCACCCAACAAAGTTTAAGATCGCTTTTGGAACAAATGAGCACTAAAGTATCTACCACAAAATTCTTAAATTGCACTAAAGTCAAACGGAAAACCCCAAACCACATCAAACAAAGAAACGATCGGAGAAAATGTTGGAGACTTTTTCGATGCGTTTTCTATTCCGATCTCTATTTCACGATAATTAGAGAATTTATGTCAAATTCAAATAAAAAAAATTAATGAAATTAGAGTTTGAAAACCTATACATAGCCGCAAAGAATAGTTCGTCACAATCAAAACCATCATCCCCAATCCCCCCATCCCCATGGCTACTCCCACTTCTTGTCTGTCTTTCCCTCTCCTCATTCTCTCTCTACTTTTCTCCTCTACTTTCGATCAAATCTCAGCCGTTGGATTCCCCATTAATGTCTGGCCAAAACCAACAACATTCTTTTGGTCCCACCCACAGGCAAAACCACTCTCACCCATCTTCACCATCGCCACCCCTTACCACCAGTACCTCACTCCCGCCATTGAGCGTTACCGCCGTCAAGTCCTAAACGAACACCACAAACCCCTCGTCTCCCCCTCCGTCAACCTCACGTCAACTACGCCGTTACAAACCCTTACAGTCTCCGTTACTGACCTCACAACCCCACTCACTCACGGAGTCAACGAGTCCTACGCACTTTCCATCCCAGCCGTCGGATCAACCGCTTATCTAAAGGCGGAGACAGCATGGGGAGCCATGAGAGGTCTCGAGAGCTTTTCCCAACTCGTCTGGGGTGACCCACTACGAGTTGCTTCCGAGTTGTACATTTATGACTCGCCATTGTTCGAGCACAGAGGTGTAATGTTGGACACGTCGAGGAATTTCTATGGAGTTTCAGATTTGTTGAGGCTAATTAATGCTATGGGTATGAACAAATTGAATGTTTTTCATTGGCATATCACTGATTCGCATTCGTTTCCTCTGGTTCTGCCGTCAGAGCCTGATCTGGCGGGGAAGGGTTCGTATGGGGAGGAAATGAAGTATTCGCCGGAGGATGTGCAGAGGGTGGTAGAGTTTGGATTGGAACGTGGGGTTAGGGTTTTACCGGAGGTCGATATGCCTGGTAAGTTTAACTCATTTTTCTCACTGATATTTAACTGTTTAATGCAGGGGAGATTAGTGATTTTGAGTAGTTTGTTGATTGAAATTTGGTTTGAAGTTGAATAATAAATTGTTTATAATTATTGTGTTGATTTTGTGATTAGAGAGAGAGAGAGAGAGGCGCCATTTAACCATAAGTCATAACATATTTGATGGTGTATGTTAAGGTGGACGAACAGAAGGNAGGCGCCCTTTAACCATAAGTCATAACATATTTGATGGTGTATGTTAAGGTGGACGAACAGAAGGTTGGAATTATGCTTTGTAATTTGGGTCTGAGCTCCTAGGCTCGTGAGGACCGAGATCAATGATTTCAGGGATTGGGGTGATTTATATAGTGAAAATATAGTGGTTCACCGGTTCGGAAGCTCGGCTAATCCCCTCTTCAATGGAGATTCTTGTTCCTTTTATCTTTGTTCATCGAGGATTTATCCTAAAGAGTTTCTTCTATAATATTCAGTTTTTCTCACCCCTTTATTGGAGGTATTATACAGTATTTATAGAGTTGTTCCTTGATGTGTGGGATCTCTGCCGAGATCCTAGCTTTTCATCTGTGGATTCTTTCTTGATTTTTGGAGAGAATCTTGGTTGGTTGAATGTTTTGCGCCTTGAATATGACTCTTTGCCACTTCCCTTATCATTTCTGGTATTGTCTCGTTTGGGGGGAGCTCTGGCTCCGGTCCTCTGAGCTCTGCGTGTCTTTCTTGGCCTCCTTGTCGGACCTCCGCGCCTGAGCTCATACTTTGAAAATTATTCTATGTATCATCAATATTAAACAAAAGGTGGAGTCTTTTTTTGAATCGTTGTAGATGTTTTGTCCTTTAGACATTTGGAGTAACCTAATAAAGTATATGGTTGGGCTTCCAATCATGTTCAATAACCCTAAATTTTACTTTTTAGAGGTAAAGTCCTTATCCAATGAATATTTTTTTAATCCCAAAACTATATTCTATACACTACTTGAACTACTTGAAGTAGTTTATTAAATTCTCTTGTTAGAAGTAAATGTTGTTTTCCTATAGTTTTGATGCCAATGCTATTACAATTTTCCATAATCATAATTTGGATCTGATCATAGCAAAAAATCAAGTGCACGAGGCTATATGACTTAGCTGGTGGTTGGAAACAACAATAGATTTGGTTGTAAATCTCAATGTGGCGGCAGATAAATAAAGGCGTATATGTGCATATACCAATCATTATGTCAAGTGAAAGCTGATTTTGTTATTGAAGAATTCCTTTCAACTACTTATGTCGAAAAAAACATTAACGTAGGTATTAGGATTTAGAGCCTAAGATTTGTGGTTCAGGTTTTAGCAGACTATATTATATCGCTTCCAAAAATTAGAGCTTGTTTGCGACAATGGTGCTTCATTTGCAATTCTCTGGCACTAGATTCTCTTTTTCTAAAACTTTATATTCCTTTTGAAATGACCAATCAGATTTAGTATGTGTAGGAAGGAAAATAGTAGATCACGTATTCTCCATCCATAGGAGTGACACTTATAAATTTCTTTCCAGTTCTCTTCTCACCTCCTTTTTCTTGTTTTAAACTCTCCGTTTGGTTTCCTAAAAAGGGCATAGAGCAGAATATTAAAAAAGGAAGATAAATATTTTTCCATTTTTTTGTTCATTCATTTATGCTGAGGACTTGTGGAGTGAATTGAGAGAAAACTATTCCAGCTCCTGTATTTAACTGTACTGTTGCACTTTGTGGTGAGATGATGTGCGGTCAATGCCTCTCCAAGGTATTTTTGGTGATTTATGGTTTGGGAAACAATTGTCTCCTTGCATATCTATTTTGTAATTCCTTTTGTGTGCATAATCATTGTTATTTGGTATTTAAATAGCCAGAAACTAAAATGGCTGTTTTTCGCATTTTTTTTTCTCATTCTTTTATGGTCCGACTCAGTGTTTTGAAAAGCTCGCCTAGGCGAGAAGCGAGGCGAGGCGAGCTTATCTCGCCTGGGGGACCCTCAGGCAAAGCGAACGTGAGCGAAGCGAGAAAAAGCGAAAAAACGAACGCTTTATTATAAGAGGCGATTCTGCTCCCCTTTTTTTTTTTTTTTTTCTGATCACAGGTTAGTAGTCTCTTTTATTTTTTAATCACTGATGACTTTTTTTTAGACTATCGTTGGTCTATTTTTTTTTTTTTTCTAATAAGCAATGTTCTGAACAAAACACATTCTTTTTTTTTCCTTATATTGCTGAATTCATTTAGAATATTTGTGGAATGTGGGAGTCAGACGACTACATGACAAAATTATGATAAAGAAAGGAAGTAGGAGTATCAGGAATTGGGGTAAATAATAGAGTCTTCTACAAAGATATGTCTCTGATATGTCTTGGTTATACTTTTCCCTTTTCTTATATATATACAAATGGTACCAAAAAGTGGTCTATGCTTATACCATGTTTAATTATTTTAGTACATGTGAAATGTGCCTCTGTTCTGTTTTTTTTATTCAGCACATAATTACATATGAAATTGTTTACAATTGATTCTGCTCCTGTCATGATCATTGTGCGTCTGTTTTTTTTTTAGCTCATTCTGCTTCTATTTTTTTTTGTTGATTCTGTTGCTGCTTCGATTTTGCTGTCCTGTGTTGCTTCTGTTTTTTTTTATCCTCATTCTGCATCTTTTTTTTTTGTTGCTGATTCTGCCGCTGTCCTGATTCTGCTTCTTTTGTTGTCCTACCCTGTCAATATGAAAATGTATACAATTGTTAGTATTTGTTTGAATTTAAATGTTTAAGTTATGACTGTTATTAAGATTTGAGATATTATTAGTGTTTGTTTTAATTTAAATGTTTATGGTTTTACTTGTATTTAAATATTTAGTATATATAAAATTAGAACTTAGATTGTTTAGAAGTAATTAAACTAAAATATATCTTTTTTTAACTGTTCGCTTTGCTTCGGTAAAGCGTGTTGCTTCGCTTCTCGCTTCTCGCCTAGGCGTTAGAAGCCTTGGACGCTTCGGTTCGCTTTACGCCTTAAATAACACTGATCCGACTTTTTTCCTTAGATTCAAATGAAAGTGTGTAAAGGAACTTTATATTTTACATGATTTAATCTCTTCTTCCCCTACAAAGTGGGTTGTCAATTATCTTATCCTGAATAGAGTGATGACCCTCATTCAAAGGCTATCAAATTGATCCTCTAAGGACCCTGTCCAACTCCAGATTTAGAAAATAATAAACCTACAACAAACACAATTGAACAAAAAAAATCTGCTTGTGATTAATTGGCCTGATTCATCTTGCATTTGGAACGTTTTTACGAGATTGGCTACATCACAACTTGCTAATATTGTGATTCTTATTTCTGCTTAAATTAGGCTAAGTTTGACTGCATTAACTGAATTGTGTTGTTTGTGTATTTTGCAGCACATACAGGATCATGGGCTGAAGCTTACCCAGAGATTGTGGCTTGCGCAAACATGTTCTGGTGGCCTGCTGGATCTGCATGGGCTGATCGACTTGCATCTGAACCAGGAACTGGCCAACTCAACCCATTAAATGCCAAGACCTACGAAATCATTAAGAATATCCTTCGTGACATCACCACAATGTTTCCAGAACCATTCTATCATGGAGGAGCTGATGAGATCATCCCAGGTTGTTGGAAAGCCAATCCTTCCATTCAAGCCTTCATGGACGACAATGGAACCCTCAGTCAGCTCCTTGAGATATTTGTTAACTCTACCTTCCCTTATATTGTTTCACTGAATCGTACTGTGGTCTACTGGGAGGACGTTTTATTGGATGCCGAGATCAAAGTGAATCCTTCCTTTCTTCCCCCGGAGAACACCATTCTACAAACATGGAACAATGGCCCAAATAACACCAAGAAGATTGTTTCTTCTGGATATCGGGCTATAGTCTCATCCTCAGATTTCTACTACTTGGACTGCGGGCATGGAGATTTCCTTGGGAATGACAGTCAGTATAATCAGCCACCTGGTAGTGACCAAGGTAATGGAGGGTCATGGTGTGGACCCTTCAAAACATGGCAAACCATTTACAACTATGATATTACATATGGTTTGAGTGAGGAGGAGGCGAAATTGGTGTTAGGAGGAGAGGTGGCATTGTGGTCTGAGCAAGCAGACTCGACAGTTTTGGATCCAAGGATTTGGCCGAGAACTTCAGCAATGGCAGAAGCATTATGGTCAGGGAACCGGGATGAGACAGGCATGAAGAGGTATGCAGAGGCAACAGATCGGTTGAATGAGTGGAGATACAGAATGGTAACCAGAGGGATCGCTGCTGAACCAATTCAGCCGCTCTGGTGTATTAGGAACCCCGGAATGTGTAACACAGTTAATCCTTTTTAGTTATTTGTTGGACCCTGTTCCTTTTTAAGATTGAACTGCCAAATTGTGAAAGATGAAAGAAATATCCAATTTGTGCGGTTAAATTATTTTTGTGTAATGATATTCTGCAATGAAAATATTTAACAGGGGATGTGTGAAAACAAAGTTAACTGAATATGAAATCTTGAAGTTCTTGGCTACACACGCACATGGACTATGTGTGCATACTTGGGATCTTGTGAGAGAAAATTCTGTTGGTGGTGTGAAATATAGGATGACATAACAGCAAACATCGCTTGGTTTTCAACTCTCTAATTAATGTCACACCACTAAACGCATCTAATTCAAAAGTTCTTCCCGTAGATGTTTCACTCCCAGATCACCACACCCTCTCTGTTTTCAGACCAAAAATAACAGCAAAATATCGGTGAATTGTCATTTGGCATCTTACTAAGTCTATGTATAACTAAACTGGCTAGTTATGTCCTACAGAGTTTGAATTTGCTCCAATTTTTTATCAACTGTTAGTTCTACTGTTGAACTTTAAGTATATGCATCAAAAGGTAACCGTTTCTAATATTGCAGATAGTTTTGCGTTTGATAAGAGGTTAAGCCTTTTTGTCTGCAAGGACACCTTTGTTTTCAATTTACATATCTTATGGTATGCACTGTTTCATGCTTCAATTGTTTGTCAAAAATGCTCGACAGTTTTTATTCATCCATACCTAACTTTATTACAGAAACGCTCTGATCATTACATAGAAGATTGGTCGTGTGGCTATAGAATTTGTACTTTTGAACAAGGTTTGTCCTTGGCAACACCATTATCAGTTGTAAGCTGTTTGATTTCATGTTCAGGATTATACCATTTTAAATTTTGTGCTGCATTACTTCTTTAATGGCATACTCTTGTGTCTCAGGTTCTCAGAAAGTAACTTTATGTAAAAGGTATCACACGGGTACTGGGAATCAACAACACTCTAAATGGCATCACGCATGCATATGTATTGCCTGTTCATGCCAATATGATTGAACGAATTTCATATTTCTCCAACCTAAATTTATGGCAGTACAAGTTTTTCATCGTGTGTTGGAAGAATATGCATCTCAAGACCATGTGCAGCAATTGTGAACTGTATGTTTGTTTCTTGTGTCCTCTCTCCCCCTCTCTCTTGCTGTTTTCGTCATCTTTTTTTTTTTTTCACTATCTTGTGGTGCAGGAGAAGAGAAGCAAGTGAAATTGGTTGGGCGGGTATTGGGAGACATTAAGCTGTTGAAATTTTGAATCAACGACGGGTGAACTAAGCCAGCCTGTTTGTGCTGCAGAAGGATCTTCTAATTGGTGACCTTCAAGTTCAGGTAACCTTCTTCCTGATTAGTTCTTAAAAACAAGGTGTCTGATCTACCTGGTACTTCTTTGTTTTCATGATTTTGACACTACACAATAAAGAAAGCTATATGAAATCCACTGAGTTGCATTGGTTAACATCTGAGAACTTGTTAAATTTGTGACCTGGGCAAAGGGTTTATATACCTGCAGTGTCAAATATTACATATTTTCTCAATAAATAACAATCTCTAATTCCTTGCTTAATCCAATTGTCGATTGAATCATAGTGTCTATGTTGTACATTTGAGAATTGTTGCATTCAAAAGGGGTCGCCCACAACTACCTGTATGTTACATGTTCTCCCTCATTATCCCCTTCTCTCAAGCAGTTGAGGTTAGCTTGAGGCTAACCATAAACTCTGAAGTGTTGGGTTCGACTCTCGCTGCTGACTCTCAGCGTTAACCGCTAGTGAATCCCGGGTTTAACAAATAAATTTGTGATGAACTTTGACTAAAAGAGTGCAATCCTATTTCTCTAGTTGGGCTTCCACATCAGTTTTAACATGTTTCAGATTGGGGCAATGGAGTTGCCACCAGTGACATTTCAGGGCATGTTGAGTTGGCGATTAAAAATAAGATTAGATGAGTGTATCTGAACTTTTGGGCACCCTTGCGTTGCAAGCCAATTTTCAGGAATAAGTTCTACCCATGAGTTTATAACAATTAATATCAGAGCTAGTCATTACGTCTAAGATAGGATCAAATGCAATGTGAGTTGCGGCTTGCTGTGGTGGAGTCACATAAGAGGTGACCTATAAGCTGGATAAGATAACTTAGTGTTGTTATATATGGGTATAATACTATCTCATTGAATACTGATAGGTGAGTGGAGCCACCAAAAGAAAAGGGCAACAATTGTGACAGTGTCGATAGAGTGAACTGCCGGGGACGGTGACGATAGAAACGTGGTGAATTTTTACGATATCACATCATTTAAAAATAAAATTAGATGTTTGTTTATGAACTCTTAAATTTCCTTTTTCCACAAATCGATTTTTCAGGTGTAATGGGTACATAAGATACTTGATGATGCAGCCTAAGTAGATAGACCAACGCGTTCATGGGCCATGGGCTGTATATTTGGCCCATTATCCCCAGAAATGGCCCATCTGGTAAGCCACCATCCAATTGGCCAAATAAACCATGTCCTGTTTTGTGCTGTTAACTAGCAGGCCAAGTAAACCAAGCCCCATGCATGAGTTGGTTTACATACCCTGGTCGCGAGACCATGAAACCCACTATATTCTCGTCAATACATGGTGAGTGATTTTTTAGAATCAAGAAAACTTAAATTAAAATGTATTAGAAACGATCTTAACCCGAGAACAAGTAATATCATGCCCACCAAACTTTTTGAGAACAAGTCAAACAGAGGAACTTACAAGACTTGTTTATATATAAATGTGGCATCAGTGTTGAGGCAACTTGCAAACATAAAAATTTGATGAAATGGTTGATAAAAGTTGTAAGAAACCCATTTTTTAAAACTAGATAAATTTGACTGTCAAGATTAAAATGACAAATGCTGAACAGCCAGACATTTCTTCTAAGGTGATAGTAGATAGTCCATTACCTTATACTACAAGACATTCTTTTACTCAATCAAGTATATTGTTGCCATTTATCATATATAGTTGAGATGTCCATTTCTAGTGTCTATTAGGCTGTAATGGGTATGTAAACAAATGACCATGTTCTCAAGAAAGTAAGATATTTTCTTTGAAGTAGGCCTGTCAACAGATCAATTCCGGATTTCGGTCGATTTGCGTTTTAATTTAGAAGTCCCAAATAGAATATCTAATGAATTTAGTTTTTTTAGTCTATATCTAGATTTGTTAAAAATTTAAAATTTAATCCAAGAATCCAAATCTAATTCAAATAACTAAATTTGCCTGAATTTTTAAAAATTATATCTAACTTTTGACTCAATTTCAGCAAATAATCAGAGTGGATATTGGTAGCACCCAAATTCAAGTTAAGCATAATTAACATATTCAGATTTGAATTATCAGTCAAAAATATCAATTCATATCCTATTAATTGTGTTTAAACTTGTACCAAAATTCGATTAATTAACAGTATGTTTAGTATTAAGTAATTGTTGTTTAAAAAATTATTAACTTATCATAATTTTAATATTATGCAAAAAATGACACTTGCATACATGTATATCAATTACTATCCATGTGTTTAAAAGCAAGGAAAAGGAGTAAAGCCAAAAAAGAAAGAACGGAGAAAAAAAGAAAAGCAAAATTGCAAAAATGCATCTGATATTATTGCCCCTATAAATTATTTTTTTTCAACGATAAGAGGTGATCGGACTAGATTACATGTATCTCGACTAATTCTATCTCTATTCTAGTCAAAAACTGGTCATCCATGTTATGACTAGAGTATTCACGAGAAATAAATCTCTCATAACCTAACCCTAAAAAATTGTAAAGATTCAAACTTAGAACGTATATCTTTATACTTCCTCTTCTTACCACCGGCCCTATCAATCAAGCCTACCAAACTTTGACTTAATACCACATAATGCACAACAAAAATCAAAAAATGAAAGGACACATTCTACCCTTTCTTGTACTCAATCACCAAATTATAACATCTCCCACATTTTTCAAATCTATCTTGCATGGTTAACCTTCCCTCCAAATCACCTATAAAACCCTAATTCAAGACCAAGCAAAAGCTCATCCTCACTCTCATTAATTTTCTCTCTCCTCCTTTTCTTCCTACCATGAAAGCTTCAAGTCAAGCAGCACTCCCCTTCACCACCATGGCTATTCTCTTTCTTCTTCTCCTCCTACTTGCACCACCACCTTCATATGCTGCAATTTCATGCAGTGATGTGATCAAGGACATTAGGCCCTGTGTGAACTACCTGAAGAACGGCAGCGGAATGCCACCGGCGGCGTGTTGTACGGGAGCATCGAATCTTGCCTCCTCCGCCACCACCACGGCAGACAAGCAGGCTGCCTGTAACTGCATTAAGAGTGCGGCCAAAAACGCTAACATCAAGTCTGAATTGGCCAAGGCTCTTCCAGCCAATTGTGGAATCACCTTGTCCATCCCTATCTCCCCCAACACAGACTGTACCAAGTACTTATACTAGCTCTTAGTTAAAGCATTTCTTAGATTGGCTCACGTTTGGTTTGATTTTAACTCGTTCACAAATTACAAAATGAATAGAATTTAGTTAGATTTCTGATTTTATTTTTGTAAATGAGTCAAAAACGAGCGACATATGCTTCAACTTGAGTATACGTGGCTCAAATAATTACGGTATAGGGGTAATTCTAATTTTACAGTCAAGAAACTACTATTTGAAAGATAACCCTAAAATTATCTCCATATAGCTCCAGATCATACATTGCTTACGTTCTAGTTTTAATTTTTGGAATTTTTGCTGAGATATTGAGCTGGATTTCGGATTGAATGCTCATGAGCTTCTACCGAACCATGCTTGAGCAAGAATCTAAACTCTACACCTTTGGCTCAAGCTTGGTAAGTCACATCTACATCTAGGCAAGCTTGGTAAGTCACAGCTAGGGAAGCTTGAACATATACAAGCTTGACTCAACTATAATTCCTAAACTACACGATCTAGAAACAAATATATCTACAAGAACGGTTTTTTTTTTNTTAAATTAAAATGTATTAGAAACGATCTTAACCCGAGAACAAGTAATATCATGCCCACCAAACTTTTTGAGAACAAGTCAAACAGAGGAACTTACAAGACTTGTTTATATATAAATGTGGCATCAGTGTTGAGGCAACTTGCAAACATAAAAATTTGATGAAATGGTTGATAAAAGTTGTAAGAAACCCATTTTTTAAAACTAGATAAATTTGACTGTCAAGATTAAAATGACAAATGCTGAACAGCCAGACATTTCTTCTAAGGTGATAGTAGATAGTCCATTACCTTATACTACAAGACATTCTTTTACTCAATCAAGTATATTGTTGCCATTTATCATATATAGTTGAGATGTCCATTTCTAGTGTCTATTAGGCTGTAATGGGTATGTAAACAAATGACCATGTTCTCAAGAAAGTAAGATATTTTCTTTGAAGTAGGCCTGTCAACAGATCAATTCCGGATTTCGGTCGATTTGCGTTTTAATTTAGAAGTCCCAAATAGAATATCTAATGAATTTAGTTTTTTTAGTCTATATCTAGATTTGTTAAAAATTTAAAATTTAATCCAAGAATCCAAATCTAATTCAAATAACTAAATTTGCCTGAATTTTTAAAAATTATATCTAACTTTTGACTCAATTTCAGCAAATAATCAGAGTGGATATTGGTAGCACCCAAATTCAAGTTAAGCATAATTAACATATTCAGATTTGAAGTATCAGTCAAAAATATCAATTCATATCCTATTAATTGTGTTTAAACTTGTACCAAAATTCGATTAATTAACAGTATGTTTAGTATTAAGTAATTGTTGTTTAAAAAATTATTAACTTATCATAATTTTAATATTATGCAAAAAATGACACTTGCATACATGTATATCAATTACTATCCATGTGTTTAAAAGCAAGGAAAAGGAATAAAGCCAAAAAAGAAAGAACGGAGAAAAAAAGAAAAGCAAACTTGCAAAAATGCATCTGATATTATTGCCCCTACAAATTATTTTTTTTCAACGATAAGAGGTGATCGGACTAGATTACATGTATCTCAACTAATTCTATCTCTATTCTAGTCAAAAACTGGTCATCCATGTTATGACTAGAGTATTCACGAGAGATAAATCTCTCATAACCTAACCCTAAAAAATTGTAAAGATTCAAACTTAGAACGTATATCTTTATACTTCCTCTTCTTACCACAGGCCCTATCAATCAAGCCTACCAAACTTTGACTTAATACCACATAATGCACAACAAAAATCAAACAATGAAAGGACACATTCTACCCTTTCTTGTACTCAATCACCAAATTATAACATCTCCCACATTTTTCAAATCTATCTTGCATGGTTAACCTTCCCTCCAAATCACCTATAAAACCCTAATTCAAGACCAAGCAAAAGCTCATCCTCACTCTCATTAATTTTCTCTCTCCTCCTTTTCTTCCTACCATGAAAGCTTCAAGTCAAGCAGCACTCCCCTTCACCACCATGGCTATTCTCTTTCTTCTTCTTCTCCTACTTGCACCACCACCTTCATATGCTGCAATTTCATGCAGTGATGTGATCAAGGACATTAGGCCCTGTGTGAACTACCTGAAGAACGGCAGCGGAATGCCACCGGCGGCGTGTTGTACGGGAGCATCGAATCTTGCCTCCTCCGCCACCACCACGGCAGACAAGCAGGCTGCCTGTAACTGCATTAAGAGTGCGGCCAAAAACGCTAACATCAAGTCTGAATTGGCCAAGGCTCTTCCAGCCAATTGTGGAATCACCTTGTCCATCCCTATCTCCCCCAACACAGACTGTACCAAGTACTTATACTAGCTCTTAGTTAAAGCATTTCTTAGATTGGCTCACGTTTGGTTTGATTTTAACTCGTTCACAAATTACAAAATGAATAGAATTTAGTTAGATTTCTGATTTTATTTTTGTAAATGAGTCAAAAACGAGCGACATATGCTTCAACTTGAGTATACGTGGCTCAAATAATTACGGTATAGGGGTAATTCTAATTTTACAGTCAAGAAACTACTATTTGAAAGATAACCCTAAAATTATCTCCATATAGCTCCAGATCATACATTGCTTACGTTCTAGTTTTAATTTTTGGAATTTTTGCTGAGATATTGAGCTGGATTTCGGATTGAATGCTCATGAGCTTCTACCGAACCATGCTTGAGCAAGAATCTAAACTCTACACCTTTGGCTCAAGCTTGGTAAGTCACATCTACATCTAGGCAAGCTTGGTAAGTCACAGCTAGGGAAGCTTGAACATATACAAGCTTGACTCAACTATAATTCCTAAACTACACGATCTAGAAACAAATATATCTACAAGAACGGTTTTTTTTTTTTTTGTCAGACACTATTATAAAAGAAAGACACTATTATAAAAGAAAGAGAATGACGAGATTCGAATCAACGACCTTAAAGTCCAATAGTGGGAACGATAGCCATTAAATCAACCGCTAACCTCTATCTACTAAAAATAGACCATCACATTTGCGTATACTTGTGTATGTTATGGGTTAACCTTTTCTTTTATTTCCTTTCCATTCATGTGTCCTTTGCAGGATTACTTGAAGTTGAAGTGGGCTGGAGGATTTATATGTCTGATGCCTGTTCTATGAAGGAAGCAGCTTAGCCTATCTTGCAATAAGCTTGGATCTATACACATCTATCTCCTTTTTCTGTTACTCTTCTTTTTAATATGCTTAAGAGTTATTGTTATCTTTGTTGTTTTGTATCAAATAATTGCCTTTACCCACTTCTGGTGAAGTTGCAGTGAGAATTATATATATGGTCTACATATTTTGTTTGACATGAGTTTTATCTCCAACCACTATTCAACACTAATTCGAAGTCTTTAATTACTCGTGTCAAATGAACCGAAACTGATCCGAACTTTGTATCAATCGTGTCGTGACCGGTATATACATGCTCTCGAAAGAAATAGAAGTAAACTTTAGTTCACAAGATTTTATTGGAAAAATTACACTTTAACCCTCTTAATTACAAACTCGATTTCACTTTATTCTGTGAACTATTGAATTTTTTATATTTTTCGCTCAACTATTGAAATTATTTTACATTGTCCTAATGCAAATGTCTGTTGTCTTTTTGGACATAAATCTTCAGCGTGCAGAAGTAAAGTTAAAAAAAAAACACACATGGTTAGAGGGCAAAATGAAATAATTTTTAGTTCAGCTTGTGACAAACGTTAGTAATTAGAGAGATGTGAAACTAATCAAGTAGTCGAGGGTGTAATTTAAAAAACATGAGAGTTGAGTGGACAATGTGAAAAAAAGGATCATAGTTGAGTGGCGTTTAAGTGTCATTTGACAATTTCATTAATGTCCTTGAATAATTCATACACTGGTAGGGCTCTGCCAGTTTGTGAATTGAACCCATGTTTGAAGCCAAAGTAAAAGCCATCAAACAGCTAATTCAGGTCAGACAGTCAGTTCTACAAGGGCAGAAGATTAAAGATAACGAAACCTCAAGGCATGAGAGTTGTTACTTTGCTGGCAGGAGGGGGACTGTGAAGAGTGGCAATTTTTCGACAAGTCACCTTAATATAGGAAAAAAGTTCAACACAAAATTAGCTTGTTCTGATTTATTAGTTCACGATAACAACTGAAAATGACAAGACTTACTGACACAAATAACGATTGAGTCAATTTCATGGTAAACATAATAATTCGACTTTAATATGACAAACCCACTTAGCCTGTATAGTATGGATCTGAACATATCTTCAGGTTATGGTAGGCCTACCAACCGGGATTCCAAAATTGAAAGTTTTAAGTACCTTTTTATCTTTATATAATACTGTAAGCAATTTTTTATTTTTCCATTTTTTTTTGCTTTTCTCTCGTCTCGGATGATCTATTCCTCTAATCTTAATCGCATGTGCATAGTAATATATGAATACACCTATATAGGTATCATTCATATGTACATAACTACATCTAAAACACTTCGAAGCATTAGCCAAATAGGATTTTACTTCTTTGCTAATTGTTTTTCTGAAGTAGGAAAAATTACTCATTGACACCCTCAACAGTGATCTTTTTTTTTTACTTTGCCCCATCAGCTATCATATTTTTTATATTACACCCTCAACTATGTGATTAGTTTCACATTGCTCCAATTATTAGTATCTGTTACATATTTAATAAAAAAATATTTTATTTTACCTTTGAACTATGTAATTTATTTCACTTTGCCTCAACAGTCAACAATTTCTGTCTAAAAAGCTAACATACGTTTACTATTGGAGCATAGTGAAATAATTAAAGTAGTTGAGGGGACAAAGTGCAAAAAGAGTTATAGTTGAGGGAGCCAAAGTGTAATTTATCCTAAGAAATATTATCAAATAGTACCTATAAATAGCACCACAAAGAAGCCAGTGGTGAAAGTGTCACCGTTGCCACTGGAATGCTCAGGAAAACAAAACATAAGAATACAGCCAGTTCATTAATAGTTTATAACTCCAAAGACATGAGCAATCAAATAATTACATATGAGAGACAAATGAAAGGTGCCAATTTAGTAAAAGAGACTAAATTTAACACTCAGGAGATTGGAACTAAATTGATAGCAAGTGTTCATCACCTGTCTAAGCGGTTTACATCTGAGAATCAATCTTTTTAAAACAGAGATAGAATGTCTTACTCCATACCTCTTTCAAACCCTGTTAAAAACGGGAGTCTTGTGCACTGAATATAACTTTTTTAAAACCTAAGTTGACCCCCTCTTCCTCCACTTTATTGTCTTGAGTGTTTAAAAAGAGTCAAAACTTGCCCCAATACAGATAGTGTAAGGACATTCACAAGTAGCTAACTCTAACCTAACCTAAAAGAAGGGTTATACACTAACAATGTAGACAAGAAGTCTAATGAGTACATTTGAGGGTCACACACACACACACACACACACAAACACATATGTATTGTGATTGTGGAAATCTTATGAATTTGGTCATGGACAATTAGAGTTCCTACCTGGTCCACCATAGTAAAAGTAGTTACCCCAACCACCATTCTTTCCAACCTGAACATCATAGCAATTTGATTCCTCAGTAAAAGTGGCAATGTCCTTGGGAGCCCTCAAGTTGTTGGACCCATCTACTATCTGAATATTCCTGAAATAACTGGACTTCCCAAACCCTTCTTCAGGAAAATGGCCACTGCCCATTTGGGTGGTGGTGTGTTGCCCTTCAGACTCTGAGTTCACCACCTCTCCTCCCCATTCAATCATTGAAGCACTGTCTACTAAGTTTGAGAACAAAAATGCTGGCCAATAACCCAAAACATAGTCATTCCCAAACTGCATCCACCAGTTACCCTCTGTTGGGTCCTACCAAAAGACAACCAAATATAAAAATTCAAATTGATGGGTTAAAATGATAGGATAGAAACATAAGGACCCAGAAAAAGAAAAGAAAGAAAAGCATACAACATGGACAAATGTCATAGATTCTCTGCATCTCTTTTAATCTATTAAATCAAAGGGTCAATTATATTTTAACTCCCTCAACTATATCTCTTGTCAATCGTCGTCATCTGTCAACAACCAACTACCATGTTTTTTGGAATACGCCTCTAACTATGGTTGTTAGTTTCACACTACCCCTAACAACGATCATGTACTTCATATTGTACTTATTATTGATTTCATACTTCCTAACTGTAGACATTAGAAATATGTATTCTATTTATTTTACAGAGTGTATGAACATGGCAGTCAATTGATTTTGCGGGTGATGAAAATCAATTCAAGTAGTTAAGTGGGTAATGTGAAAAACACAACCCTTAAGGGGATAAAGCTAATTGCAATGGGTTTGACTTCTGGGTCTTGTACTATCATCATTATTTTGTATATATATATATTGAAAACCTTAATGAAATGAAGTAGTAGGTGAGTCCAATGTGTACAGCTAATCTTATATACCTTCCAGACAAGTATGCTGATATCATATTGGGATTGACGATATCCAGAAACAGGGAAGATGCTGGCCCCCAGAGCTATTTCATTATTGATTTGAACAAAGCCTGAGCACAGCAAGTTGTAGCAACCCGTGGCTTGATAAGCATCACTCTGTCATTTCAGCCAAAAATTTCAGGCACTTTTAGACACTATGTGATAACAGTATCAACAGCATGGAAATCGTAAATAAGGTTTGGTATAAAATTACACTTTATTTGGATGAAATTCTGACTTAATTGGACGAGATTACTGGTTGTTTCAAATCGATTTGAAGGCATAATTTGACCTCGATTGATGACCTTTTTGAGTTGTAAAGTGATTTCATTTGAGTTGTAACAAGCTTTTTTGCAATCTTAACTTTTGCTACAATATCAAATTCGATACCGTAGTCTTTCCCGAGCAAAAAAGGAACTTAAAAAGGATGGGTATATGGTGACTTACTGTCCAATAGGTAAAAAGTCTAGCGTTGTCGTCTCCATACAAGTCTGGGCTTACCTGTTTTCTCCCAGTAGATGGAAAACCAATTTAAAATCAGAACAAAAAAATTGGTACACTCACGCACTCACACACACACACACATATATGAATTAGGAGGATTGTGAGTGAAAAGATAACTGCCTGCCAGCCAGCTTCAATACTGTTGAGGTCATAAGCAAAAGAGCCTCCCAAGATCCATAGCTGAGACAAGCTGAATTCATTGGGTTGCTGTACTCTGGGAGTCCATACATTAATGGTTGCCTTTGCTCCATAGTAATTATCTCCTTCAACATAAGCTATTGCATGCTAAAAAACTCCAGAACAAAACCCCAGAAAAAAATAAATCATTAAGAAAGAAAAGAGACCAACATAAAGCAAGAAAGCTAAAAAAAAAAAAAAAGTTTTCTTTTCATGTGTTGTTGTGATGTCATGGTTCAAGGACGTTGTATGACGTATTGAGAGGGTAGACGTATCAGTCACGTCGATGTGAAATATGCTACAATTAAGATGTGATGAAGATGGCTCAAAGGACTTGGCTGAGTTTTATATGAGTGTCAACGGTTCTGGGTCGTTATTTACACGAAACGTGTCGGAACGAAAGGTTTCATTCTAGGTCGAATCGTATCTATATCAGATATTTTGAACCATGAGTCATAGGGAGCATATGTATCTATAGGCTGTGGGTGTACCTGATGGCCATATTGACTGATGAAGTCAGGTCCAGCAGACTTTGGTTTAGGGACACTAGAATTCTTCTTCTTTCCAAAACTCTCGACAGAGCTTGCTCTGAGGATATCCTCTCTCTTTGTTCTTCTGATAGGAATGGTTCCTTCTGGGCACCTTCCATTCAAGTTCCATAACTGAGCAATTGGTTTTGACCCATCATTTTGGGATTTTGAATTGGACACTTTGTTATCATCAAGCAGCCCTTCTGGATGATAATTTGGCCTCATCTACAACAAACAAAAAACACCCATCTTCAGAATCCAAACTGTATGTACAAATGCATGGGAGAGAGAGAGAGAGAGAGA